TCTGATCAAGCCCTTCTGGATCTCACCAACATGAAGGAACTCTCCTTATGCCTGTCCAGCTGTTCTGTGCAGTACTTCCTGGAGTGACTTCCCAGTGATGCTAACAGCTTTACCTGGCACCCCCAAGCAGTTAAGGTGGAAGACTGCAGCAGCAAGTTCCTTGCCTCCAACTAGCTACAATGGAATGGTTTTCCCATAGGAATTACCCTCAGAGGAATAACCCCAGTCCCTCCAGCCAAACTGCCTCCTTTCCAGGGAAGCCAGAGGCTTGCATGCCTTTAAAAAAAGGAAAAATATCCCCAAATCAAGATAGTATTTCAAGTGGGATTATTGCTCGTTGGCCAAAGAGCTGGAAGTTTAGCTGGAACTTATTAGGCAAGCTTTGCAGAAAGGAGGCTGTAAAGAAGGAGGTGGTGTTGCCCTCGGTGCTGCATCCCACTGCCTGCATCAGCGGTGGCCAAGGGGCCGTGAAACTGGCAGGCAGAGGCAGGTGAAAGAAAAGGCAGCCAGGAAGCAGAGCCCTGACATGCAGGGTCTTCAGCCTCTTTCTTAGGTTTTCCCTGAGAACACCACCTGGGAGAGGCCAGCAGGAGAGGCTGGGAGCCAGCCCGTGCCCTTGCTGAGCAGATTAGCAGCACTGCTGATCATCCCTCCTTGCCACCCCCAGGAAAGAAGTGTGATCCCTGCCTGGCGCAGAAATGGATCCAGCGAGAGGCTCTGAGGCGAAACTCGCTCAAATATTGAACTAGAAAAATTTTGCTCGATCTGCCTCTCAGTAAACAGTGACTAATTGCTCTGGCTGGAGTTGCTGTACCTTCTAGATTGGAAGGTGCAGACAGAACAATGATAGTGAAGGCTCCTTACCTGACACCGGCTGTACATTAATCACGAATGTTTGCTACGCAAATCTTGTCATACAAAGCAATTATTGCTGTTCCCATACTGACCTCATGTTTATTTATTACATGAGCTCTTTATTTGAACCTTGTCTGGTCTCTCTTCCCATATAAGCATATTAGTATGTGGCTTCCAAAGGCTCCCAGCTGAGAAATTGTAGAATTATTTGTGGCGTGGAGGGATGGCACACGACACGCTGACGGCAATGCAGAGCTGAGAGGCTCAGCTCTTACACCAGTGTCTCTTCATGCAAAATGTTCTCACCCCAAGGTCCCTTGCTGGGATGAAGGACACTTTCTAACAGCACAGGGCTGCGACTCTGGGTTTGCTCTGACGCTGCAGTATTAACCAATGGTTAATGGAGACTGTCAGCCCGAGGAGCCAGAAAATAAAGCTCTGCTTGGGCTTCTTTAGGGTCCGCTCAGTAAAAGTAAAATTTTACACAGTGCTTCGTCCTTGGCTTTGTCACCTTTGCCTACCTCCAGAATGATGAGTTGCAAATAAATTTAACTGTGCCACCAAGTAAGTTGCAAGTGCGCTTTTGAATGTGGTGGTGTTTGGGTAGCTGGAGGGCTGGGTGTCTTTAAGCACCAAATATTCTCTTGCCAGAGGAGTTTTCTCCATGTGATTTAATGCTGGGCAGAGGGTTTCCTCCTTAACAGATTGGGGCAGCTCACTCCCTTGATTTTGTCCTACGGCTTCTCAAGATGATCATTAAATGTAATTTCTACATTAATCTGGGCTTTGTTTTCCCCCTTCCTTCAGTTAGGCTGCAAAGCAGGCAGAACAATGTATTGTCTGTTTAGTGTTTTCTTTTAAACACGCCCTGCTATACAGTCTGGGATCTTCTGAAGTCAGCTGCCCCTCCACGCTGATCAGTTTTGTTGCGCAGGGACTCTGCCTGCCTCACACCTCAGGCAAGTCTCTGTTCCTCTCTTGAGCGGGACAGGAAGGGTCTCCATGGTTCCTGCTTCAAACCAAACCCTCCTGTCTGACCTCTTTGGGCCCCTTCCTTGTCCACAGACATTATTGGTGCTCTTTTACTAGGGGAAACTGTAGAAAAGCCCCCAGAGCCTGAATGAAATCAAATCCCTCTTACACCCCTCAGCCCTCCCTGCCTCTCTCGCTGTTCTTTCTTCTGCTCTCACCTCTGCTTTCAGCTCTTCCCAATGTACCATCATTTTCTGATGCAATTAATTCTTATTGCTTCCAAATCATTAATAAAGCACCTAATTGTTGCAGCATTTCTGAGACAGAGAGGGCATGATTTATGTTTGGAATGAGATTTGAGCTACTCCAGCCTAGGCCTCAGATCTGGGCCTTGTGAGGCTTTCCAGCCTCTGGCGCAGTTAGAAATTAAGAGCTTGTGGCGCAGTTAGAAATTGTATTAAGGTGTGATGGGAAGCACTGGGCTGTCTGGGTGTGAAGTAGTATAGGTTTATAGTGTGAGGTTTAGGTCACCTTAAGAAAAAGACACACAATGTTCGCTTGCCAATGAATGTGCCTTTGTAAACTGTAAACTGTATAGAAGTGTATATAAGCTGCCATCTCCTCTCGAATAAACAGAGAACGTTGCATTAATCATATTGGTTTGACGTGCGTTCTGTCCTGTCCAGCTTTCCTGTTTCCTGAGGACCCTGGGTTCACGTAATTAACAGCAGGCCTGACAATGAACCTAGCAATGCCACACTGTGTACTTTTGCCCCTCTCCAGCATCACCCTTTCCTTAGGATCTCGGCTGGCTTTCCATCCATTCAACAACTTGCATCTCCCAGTCAATTTGAAATATTCCTCCCCCCTACTCCAGTATTTCTCTTTTATGGTGCAGCTGTAGCTTTTGCTAATTGTTCATTTAATGACTGGATTTTTTTTTTCCTAAAGCAATATTTTTCTTGAGAAGTTGAATTTAAAGGGGCCATAAATGACTAATAGTAATTAATAAAAATTAAGAAATAATTCTTTAAATGCATATGCTGCCTGGAGCCAAATTCCTAAATCCCTGTTGCTGTTAGATCAGCTTGGGGTTTTATTCTCCCCTGAAGGAGCAGCAGTGCCCAAGACTGTCGGGAATACTCCAAGTGATGGAATAACTCTCCAACAACCCCAGGAAGCTGAGGGCTGGGGGTATGTGGTGGACCATGCCGGCAGCACATAGCTTACTGCTGCTCTCCTCCCTTGCTGACAGGAGGACTGGCTGTGCCAGGGCAAGAGGGGCTTCGGGGACCTGGTGGACAACTTGATCCTCTTGAAAAATACTGCCTTTAACCCGTGGAGAGCCCTGCCACTTCCACAAGACTGTTAGAAAGGGATTACACATTTAAGGGCAAGAGAGTTACATTCAAGTAAAAAAGCAGCAATAAAAGGCTTTTGTGGTTCAGAGCATAAATCAGCCTTTTACTGCTTCTCCTTGCAGTGAGCGCAGCCGCAAGCGCCTGACTCGGGGATTTTTATATCTAGTGGTGAAATATCTGGGGGACAGCAGTGCCAGGGAGCAGGCACAGGACCCTGTGCCTGAGTCAGCACTGCCCAGCCAAGGATGCTGCAGCATCCTGCTGGCTTCAGGAGGGAGGATGAGTGTGATGGCATGGAGTCAGGGACGTGATCCCGTCGTGCAAAACAGGACTTGGAAGTGCACAGAGATGGTTTTGAGGGCCACTTCACAACTGCTTCCCTCTCCTGATGATATTTAACTGCTGGTGGTTTTCTTTTGCCAGTGTAGACTGGCTGAAACTCAGATCCACCACTCCAGCTTATTAAAAGGTCACGTTTTACAAAGTAGCACAGCCACCCTAACCAAATGCGTGCTGGCTAATTGCCTTCGGTGTGAAATTAGGTTTGTGGTTTCTGTGGGATCAAGTGTGGCTTCCTCCTCTCCTCCACAACCTCCTTGGTTGTGTTCCCAGTCGCTGATGAGCATTTGATGTGCAGAAAAGACCTCAGTTTGCAGCCAGAAACACACATTCCAAAGCCCTGGCTTTGCCTACACCCAGGATGGTGCAGAGGCAGGAGGACTGGAGAAGCTGGGACGTAGCAGAGCAGAAAATGCCTCATGGGGCTGAACCTCAGCAGGCAGTTTGGGAGCTGTCAGGCAGGGTAGGTATGAATGCCCTACAGGTAGGGCATTAGGTCAACATGTCACTTTGTTTCCACTGCTCCTTGCAGTGTCAAGGGGGACAGAGCTGGCCACTGGGACACTGACCAGCTCTGGGTCCTCCCTTGCTGGACCAAAGGGTATATGCAGCACAGCAGTAAATTGTTTAGCTGAAAGCATGGGAGAACTTGTGCCTTGCACTGCAGCACCTTATGTCATTTAACAAAGCAGGCGTGTGTCAGCTGTGGTGACAGAGATGCTCCTTGTCAGCTGGGCTGAGCGAGAAGTCCTGGTCCATTAGGCAACACGTGCCAGAGTGCACAAAGCTGGAAGCAGGCATCTCTGCACAGAGTGAGCCACCCTGAAACAAATACAAACACTTGGTGTGACAGAAATATTCAGTTGGGTCTCCTCTTGCCTGCCAGCACAGCCTCATACGTGACAAGCAGCCAAAAGCCCATGCAAGAAGAAAGCTTGTGCAAGAAAAAATGACTTCTCACCTGCAAACAGCTGAGACCCTTGGAAATACCTACTAGCCCACCTCAAACTGATGTCAGGACAATGATGGGTGCTTCTTTATAGGTGCAAGCTTTTCAGTTCCCACCTGGAGAAGCAGAAGGAAAAATACAGGCTCCATATATGCACAGCCAGGCGAGCAGCTCTTTGGAAGTCCACGGCCTTTGAAGATAGCTGTGGTGAATATCTGTGGGGAGAAAGAGTGGCATGGGGGTGTCCCACCTCCTCCATCTCCTGCAGAGATTCTGTGCTGCGTGGCCCAGATCCCCAGCTCCACGTTTCCAGAAGTGGGACCTACAGTGGGAGCAGTGTGGAGCTCAGCTGTGTTTGCAGCACTTCAGAGATGAGATCATAACCCCAGAGGCAGAGCAGAGTCGAGCTCCAGGTAGGCAGGGAGACGTGAGCTCAGCCACTCACCGGGGACAGTTAATCCAGCATCAGCACTGGGCCCATTGTGGGGTGGTGTAATGCACTAAAATGTTTCTTGAGACCAGCCTTTAGTTACATAAAATACAATTACGAAGCTTGTGTTGTATTGACTGCTTCTGCAATTTTGTCTTTATAAGATATTTTTTCTATCATCTAATTGGGTGGCTTCTTTCAGGTTCCCAGAGTACTCTTCTTTGTGCTTCAGGGGAATTTTTGTTACTCTTTAAACAATAATTCTGAAAAAAAACCCGTTCTGATTTGTAGTAACTCTCACACAAAGGGAAAGCTCCTGTTTTTTCAGCCCACAAGCCATCCAGTTCTCCCACAGCCTTCTTAAATTCCTAGCCACAGAATGGTTTGTGCTGGAAGGGGCCTGAGAGCCCATCTGACCCCAAGCCCACAAACACGGACACCTGCCACCAGATCAGGCTGCCCAGAGCCACGTCCACCATGGCCTGCTTTGACCACACAAGAGGTACCTTGAATCCAGATCTTGTCCCATTATCCATGACACGACCACTTGACCACTAACTGGCTTCAGCACAGTTTGCTGAGCTTTCCCCATTTCAGTGCTTTCCCTCTTCTGCCATAAAACCTGCCCCAAATTCCATCCAACCTTATGAACAGGAATGGTTGCAAGCTTCCCTCCTAAGGTTTTTAAATTAAGACTTAATGAAGACTCAGAATTTAAGGTTAAATGTTATTAATTATGTTTGTACAGTTCGATTTCCTTGGCAAGCATTTGAGATAAAAAACAAAACAAGACAAGCCCCAAACGATATTTGCACATTCTAGAACACCGCAAATCCTTCCTTGAAAATGCACAAGAAATCCCTGTAGAGCACTGGTACACTTTCAGCCAGCCTCCTGTCCAATTTCCTGGGGAAAAAGAAACCAAAACAAAATGCAAGTTTACAACCTTGTGATTTTAAAAAAAGTGAAATATCTTAAATATTTGTATTTGTCTGTTCTGGCTGCTCAGTGTGCATTATAGCTACATATGCAATTAACTTCTATTCCACACCTCTGCATGGGTGAAGATCTGAAGTACAGATCCCCTTTGCATCTACTATACATCACTTTTAAAGAATTGCCTTTAAAGTATTACATTAGGCTGCTGTTTACCTTCCACTTAGGTCTTTCATTACAAATCCAGCCATTGGCTGGATCAAGTTTTCATTTCTGTAATATTTTTTTCTCGCTGTAGCAATGCCTTGTAAACAGCCTCCTTACATAGGACTATGAGTGAGATGGAAAAGCCAGGGAATATCTTGTGGTATGAGGAAAAAATTGCTGTGCTTACTGCCTTATAAAATGCACTTGATAAATTTGAATAATCTGAATTTTTATTGCAACAGTTTTTAAAATAAAGAGGTACCATTTTCCTCTTTCTTTTTTTTTTTTTTTTTTTTTTTTAATAATGCACCAAAATCTTAATAAACTGTTTTGTCTGAACCACAGGGAGAAATGAAAGGCTTTTCTATGTAGTGACTCACTGGATTATTGAAAACAACTATGTGGCTGTAACTGTTTGCCTTCCTGATATATCTTTCTCCTCTGTTTTTAATAACGAGATCACTGTAGAGCTTTGATGAAGAATGAAATTTCTTTCTTTTCCAGATTTGATTTTTTGACAGAAATATTTACGTGGGTTAGAGAAATGCATCTAAAATGACACAGCTCAAGTCTACCAGGATCAGATTTTTACATACACGAGTTGCAGAAATCTGCCTGCCCATCTTAATTCTCATAATTTATCCCCTTGTGTGTTTTTTCCTTCTGTGGATCAGACAATGAATTTTTCCTCCCTTTTTGTGAATAAGCCTCTCTCAGAAATGAGACACATGGCTTTAACTTCTGGGGGAAGCGTTGGCACCTCTGCCAAGGAAAGGGATGTGAATTGATGGGCTGCTCTGCTCTGGAACATTAAGCAGATCACACTCCCACTGCAAAGTGCCATTGTCAACATTAAACCCTCTTGTTAATAGCCCACTGGTTTGGGTTTTTTCTGTTTGTTTTCCTTTTCAAGTGTATCTACAGTTAACTGCAAGGAAAAAACCCAAACTGCAGAACAGTGCCGAGAAGGGTCTCCCTCCTAAATAGCCTCTCAGGTAGCTGCTGTAAGCTCTCCTCTCTCCATAGGTAGGAAGCAGAAGTGTGGCTGTCTTAACCCATCTCCAACACCATTACAGACAGTAGATGATGTTTTTAAAAAATGAATTATTTGCTATGGGATTCAGGAGGAGATTGTGTGTTTTGGTGCTGCTTGACATGCTGACAAGCAGGGGAAAAATGTTGCCCTGTAAACTTGGCTGTCTCTGTTGATTGAGAGATGTCTTATGGAAAGGTACTAGTCAGTGTAAACCCCAGGATACCCAACAAAGAGAGATTTCAATAAATATAGAGAGCCATTAAAGTAGCTCACCCTCTCTTCACAGGCTCAGGTGTAAAGAGAGATGCTACCTATGCATTTCTGTTGATCTCCATGCTAAACAAAGCCACAAGCACATGGAGCAAGTAGCATTTCAGATATCACCATGTTCCTTTCAATTAGCCTGGAAAACCTGTCCAGGGCTGAGCCCTCTCCCACTGAAACTCCAGTTTAGCATCACTGACACAGAGAGACAGATATTCCCTCCATTGTGCATTTGGGGTGGATTTTTTCCCCCCACTATGCAGAACAGGTGAACAACTTTCTTCTTCTTAGGCATTTACAAGACTTTTTAAAGATCAAAGCAACCAAGCAACCAGGTAAAACAAACTGCACCTGCCAGCCCGTTGGACCACTGTAAAATTCAGTGCTGGAAGGGACTTTCTCCAGAACAGTCTCCTGGCCTTCACAAGGCATTCACCTTAGTCTTCCTAATGACCTCTCTGCATGTAGCTCTATTGGCAGAGCAAGGCTTGGGGAGCCATCAAGAGAAGGTGATGGTACAAATGTCCCCACCTTTGTAAATAAAATATCCCACACAATACAGGGCTGCCAATGGTTGGTTTTCTGGCTCTCACACATCTACTCCTCTTTTGGAGGAAGCTGAGAGTGCAAAGGGAGCAGAGCCTGCAATGAATCCATCAGCTCAAAAGCAGGATTCTAAACTGGAGATAATCCTTGTCTTCTCAAAACTTTAACCTAAGGGAGCACAAAAGGAAAAGTAATCATCTCTTGTTGGTCAATCCCTTTGCTCAGTGTCGCAAATATCACAGAAAGAGAGGCCATCAGCACGGTTTGCTTTAGATCAGGAATAACTCCTGTTCCAGCCATTGCTGGGGGCTGTTAAGGCCTTCAGGTTTTTGATGTATTGAGGAAAGCCTTGACAATGCAGACAACTGCAGTGAAATAAGAGGCTGGCTCAAACATTAATGACCCACTGATTCTATGTGAGACAAAGAGATGATTGCACTGTCTGCCTTGGCAAGACCTCTCCCTTCACCGCCCTTGGTAGGCATCCCTTCAGTGACTGCAAGGGGCAGAGCTGGTCCCTCAAAGTTTTCTTCCTTCCCCCCTACTCCCAACTCCCGTCCTTGTCATAAAGAGTAGGAATCAAAAACAAGCCTGTGGCTTTGCTAGCATAGCAGAAGAAAAATCAATCTCCTTGTTGACCTGGTGAAAGAAAGGTGGAGTACCTGAAGTTCAGTTTTCCCATCTCCAGATGCCGCTTACACTGATAGGCAAACTTTCACAGAAGAAGGAGAGTAATCTGCAAGTGCTCTGCCGTAGTGTGGATTCATCTGTCCAAAAGCAGCAGATAAAGGTGAAGGCAGCTCACTTCCACACTCACTCCCTAGTTTGCATCTAGAGAAAGTTTTGAAATTTGGGAAAGAAAAGAAGATAATTTGCAACCATGAAAAATGAGATAAAACAAAGCAGTGTAGGGAAAGGGAAACTGAGCAAAGCAAAAAAAACTGGCACATTTTTACCTGTTGATGTTGCTGTCACCAATGGGGCTTTTTATTCTCTTCAAGCCAGGCAAAACCTGAGGTGTAACCTCTCCTCCAGGGCTCGATATCCAGAGGAGTCACCTCAGGGAGCACGTGGCAGAGGTGGCCGTGATGCTGAGCTTTGGCTGGGAGTCCTCTCAGGAACACGACGGGTGTGGTGAGGCATCACGGAGCTCTTGGCTGCATCAGCTGCCCACCTGTGATTGCAGGGATGCTCAATTGGCAAAGAGTCACCCTTCCAGCGGTGGGATCCTGGATCATCCTTCCCACTGAGACTTCCCGTGCACGGCTCTTCCATTGGCACATCTGTGCTCAGCTGGGACTACTCTGCTCACCCAGGGCTGCTGGTAAAGGATCAAGAGCAGCCTGGCCAGGTCTTTCTCCAGCTCCCTCTGTGCTCTTGGGGAAGGTAGAACCTTCCACAGGAAAGCAACTGGTGCCACAAGGAGTGGGTGGCATCAGGCAGCTCTGGGGAAGCCCCTCAGGAATGCTGTATCCTGAGGGAACACTGCTGGCCTTGACCTGTTGGCACCTGCAAAAGCTTCAAATCAGCTGCCTCAGCTTCCAGGGCCTCTCTTGGCCAGCATCCTGACGTGGATGCAGGACGGCTGCCAGGCCCTGCTGGGACCCAGCGGGACAGGAGCGGCTGTCTCGTGTCCACGCAGCACCCGTGACACAGCCAGGGCCATCCCGAGAGCAGACAGACGCTCACGGGCCAGCAGAGAGGAGCAAGGAGCCCTGGGCTCCTCTCAGGGTATCTCAGCTGGGCTCGCTCCACAACACGCCCCCATTTGAAGGCCTGCTGATGCCCAGCTGCCAGAAATGCCTCCCTTGTGCTCTCCAAGATGCACAGGGAGAGCCAAGGAGCAGGACACCTCGGCAGGCAAACCTTCCAAGCCTTTTCTGAGGCCAGGCACACACCAAGATCAGCCAAGACTCTCCACCACGCTGCCTGGCCCACCCAGCCCAGTCTGTGCTGGCCCTGGGCCACAGCAGCTCCCAGCAAGCAGGAGGCAAATGCATCTTGCCAAGAGATGCAACACAGCAGACAGGGAAGATGTGAAAAGTGAGTGTGTAAAGGCCTTTTAATTCACAGCTCCCACAGAGAGCTCTGGGGCTCACAGATGGACAGAGATGGTTCTGCTCACCCCTCTGTCCAAAGGGGGGTAACACACGCTGCTGCAGGTGCTTGGGTTGGTCCCTGCAGGTCCAGGTGGATGCCAAACCTGCTCTTCACAGCCTTCTCCCTTCCCCTGCCCCTCTGCCAAGTGCAGCGGGCCTCAAGGACTGAAAGGAGCACAGAGAGCCAAAGGGGGACACTTGCACCTGCCTCACTGGGAGCTCCCTGGGAAGCACTTTCCTTGAGAAGCAAGCCCCTGTCCTCCAAATGCATTTCCCCAAATGTGCAGCTTTTCTGCTCAACACCAACACACCCTTAGGAAACGCTGGCAAGGCTGAAGGACTTCATGTCCTTTCAGGACAGGCACTCCAGCTCCAGCTCCTATTCCCCCAAGTGCCTTTCCAGGTGGAGGCTCAGACGTGCAGCCCCAGGCCCTCTACAAACACAAGCTGCTCAGTGCCTCTTCACCTGCCTCAACTCCTGCCTGCGCCCACGGCACCAAGACCAGGCTGTTCCCAGCCAGAGCCCAGAGCCCTGCTCCCGCAGGACGCTCTTGCCAGCACCTTCCAGGCCTCTCTGCTGTGCACACAGCGCTTTTCATGCCCGCTCCCAACAGGCTCTGGAAGGCAGAGCACAGCCTGGCTGCCTCTGCCACCAGCACAGCCCAAACACAGGCGGAGGAAGAAGCAGCAGGGGCTGTTTTGCGGCCATGCCCAAGAGAGACTGGAAGGGTGCCCTCCCTCTGCTCTCACTTGCTTGGCTTTCTGACTGGCTCTGAGCCTGGGGCTGCCATTCCTCACTTGTGGGCACCAGAACCACAGCCGGGATCCCAGCACTGCCTGAGAGTGCTCCGGGCACTGGCAGGGTCGTGCGTCCCAGTCTCGGGCACCGCGCTGCTGCTTCCTTTGCCCTCAGGCACACCCAAAGCTCCCTGCTAAGCCTGGATGGTCGCTGGTTCTGCCCTCTCCCTGATCCTGTGCAGGGATGGAGCACGGCTGGTCTTTCAGGAAGCTATTCTTGAAAACTTCCAGCATTCCAAGCTCCTTTGCCCTCCGTGGAAGCTTGCCATGGAATCCCTCACAGCTGCCTTCAGAGCATACTCAGCTTGGCTCTTCCAAATTCCAGGGGCTCCAGGCTGCACAGCAAGATCTGCAACTCCACAGGGTTGTGGAACTGCACCTTCAGCACAGGCACCTCTCCAGCCTGATCTGCCCTCGTTCTGTGTGTGTGTGCACAGAACACGGCGTGGAAGAGAACAGCAGCAGGGGCCTGTGTGTCCCAGGGCCCGGGATTTGTGCCGCTTCAGCTCCACAGAGATGCAGGTAAGGGGGAGAAACCAAACTCTTTATTAATGGAAGGGAAAGGGAAGGGATGAGATGAGGGGGAAAAAAAGGGGATGGGCAGGGTCTGAGGGCTGGAGGGAGGAGCTGTCAACAGGGAATGGGGAGGGAAGTAAGAGGGAGGGGGAAGGCAGCAGCTATGGGAGCTTGCAGCAGGCACAGCTGTGGCCAGCATCAGGTGTGCCTGGGGCTCCAGTGACGTTGAGTCCTGGTGCTCTCTTCACTGTCTCCTGGTACTCTTCTTGGGATCGTGGTTCTCTGAATCCAGCAGATGACCTTAGTTCTGCACATCTTTGTCCAAAAATTTCCTGAATTTCCAGGTTAGTGGAGGATGGGCTGTCATCTTCGCTCATGGCTTCAAGGGCTGGAAGACAGATAAACTACCACAGTCAGAGCCCAGAGGGCCACCCAGCGATTCTTCTGCTAAGGCCATCTCTCCCAGCTCCCGCCATGCCTAACAGAGACGAAGACCCAACGGGATCAGCCGCAAGGCGCTGGTCACGAATTCCCCCACTGGCGTCCCTGAAATCTCTCTGTGCCCTGCCCACACCAGCCCTCGTCCACACAAGGAGCGAAGCTGGCCACAGCCGGGACAGGGATTGCAGCTCCCTGGCCGGCATTGCAGCTCTCCCGGCCAGCCCCCGCTGACAGCCCGCTGCCCTCACTCACCCTGAGTGAGAAGGTGAAGCTCGGCTGGCTGTCCCTTCAGGTAGCGCCCGGCCATCCCTGGGAACACAGAGCCTGTCAGGCCCAGCGGCACAGCTCCCTGCCAGCGGCGCTGCCAGCCCTGGGGCCACACGCCCTCCTGGCCCGGCAGGGCTCAGCCCGGGCCCTCGCCGCACGCTGCCGCCCCAGGGCACGGCTGCCAGAGGCGCCGGCCCGGGTGGCGCTGCCGGGGCAGCAGAGGGGCTGGGGCCGAGCTGCGGCGGGGCGGGGAGGGAGCCCGGGCTGGTGGCTCACCCATGAACCTGACGGCCGCCTCTCGCAGGGGCTCCTGTGGGCTCTGCAGGTAGGGCAGGGCCCGGCGCAGGTGCTCGGCCGCGCTGCTGCTGTCCTCTGCCAGCTGCAGAGAGCGGCAGGAGGGAAGGGTTGGCGCGGGCTCAGCCCCTGGGCCGGGCGCTCCCTGCGCAAACCCCGGCCTCCCCTGCCCGCACAGCCCTGAGGCCCGGCCAGCAGCCGCTGGCGCCGGGCTCTGGAGGGGGCAGAGGGCCGGCTGCTGCCCGGGGAGCCGCGGTGCCGCCCCGCAGCCCCGCCGGGCCGCGGCTCCATCGGCACCCGGCTCGGGCCGCAGGAGCCTGGAGCAGAGCCCGCGCGGCCTCGGGCTGCAGCAGCGGGCAGGGGCACAGCTGCCAGCCCGCACACCGAGCACCGCGCTCAGGGGGCTTCTCCAGGCTGGGGCTGCGGCTTCCCGGCCCTCCTTACCAGGCACTCGGCAAACTTTGACAGCTGCTCCTTCTTCAGCAGCTTCTTGAGATTCCTCTTCTTCAAAAACTCGGCCACACCAAGCAGCGTTTCCCGAGAAGCCTGGAGAGCAGCCGAGACCCAGAGATGGCCCCAGAGCCCAGGGCGCAGGACCCGCGTCCCTGTGGCAAGGGCCTGGAGGAGGCTGCAGCCCGCCAGGCGCCAGGGCAGGAGGCAGCCCAGCCCCCTCCCAGAGATCCACCAGCATCACACAAAACCTCACATTTGCCACGCGCTGGTTGTCCTCATGGCAGTGCAAGAAAAGTGGGAGCAAGCTCTGACACAAAATCTTCTTCATGGGCTTTTTTCCTTCATCCACTACCAAGTTCATCATCTTGTCAAAGAGTTGAATAGAGAGCAAGAGCACATAGTTGCTGTCCTTTAGAAAAGAAGAGGATAAGACTTTTAAGACCAATTATTCCAGGCTCACCAGAGACAATGTCAGAAAATCCATAAGGGAAAAGTGTATGCGGGCAGTCTGTGCCCATGGCTGTGGACATAGAGCCTTACATGGTCAAAGAGCAGGAGGAGTGCCTCAGCGAGCTTCGGGGCAGTGGTGCTGGATACCAGGATGTCTTTGTGCTGGAGGACATTTGTGAACACACGGAGGCTCATGCTGACCACCTCTCCATCTGCATCCCCCAGCAGCTCCAGAAGGCTTTGAGACAGCGGGTACATTCTTCTGGCCTGTGCGGAACACAAGGGTGGGCTGGGGAGCCGTGGATGGCTGCACGGCCAACACCGCCCTGGCACTGCAGGCCCACCCTGCTGCTGCAGGGCCCACAGGCCAAAGGCCTGTCCCAAAGCACTGGGGCAGGTGAGGCAGGAGAGCTGGGAGCAGCTGCCTCAGCTCCTGAAGCCCTGCCAGCCCAAGGGGCTGCTTTGCCCAGCGCAGCTTCAGCTGCTGCCCCCTTCTCACCATCGAGGGATCCTTGGTGAGCACCACAAGGCCTCGGAGCGCCAGGCGACGCCGCTCCCTGCACTCGCTCCGCAGGTACCTTGACATCATCTCCAGAACGCTGTCACCGCATTCACTCAAGTCCAGGCCCCCGAGGACCTGAAAGGCACAGGGCAGTGACAGGGGACCGGCCGGCAGGAGCCCAGAACCGCACAGGGCCGGGCCCAGGCAGCAGCACGGGGCGTGGGCACCGTCCCAGGCAGCTGCGGCTGCGAGAGGGCAGAGAGCCGGGAGGCAGCTGAGGCAGGCAGCGCTGGCCAACAGGCTCACCTCCACCAGGAATGCCAGGGAGGGCAGATCCCAGCACGGCTCTTCCCTGCTCTGTGGCCGGAGCAGGCGGAATGCAATGTGGGAACAGAAGGGGTCCAAGACATGGCACAACACCCTGGCAAGGGGGGAAAAAGGCCCTGAGGTGGGAAGGCCAAACCCCTCCCAGGAGGGACTCACAGAGGTCGGGTCTTTCCCCAGCATCCCTGGAGAGGATGTGGGCGTTTTGTGAGGCGGCCCCTTCTGGGCACCCTCCTCTCCAAGCCTTTTCCAGTTTCCTTGGCTGTCCCTCAGTGAAAAGGCCCTCTGGCCCATGACCGCAGGGACTGTGAGGGGCACCTGGGCACAGGGCACAAATATTGGGGACCGTGGGGAGAAGGGGGTCTCACCTGGCCAGCAGACCCACAGCATAGTGCTGGGTTTCAGCACACAGCAGCGTGTCCCAGCCACGCTTGCGCTCCATAGCCAGCACCACATGGTCCCACTGCAGTCGGCAGAGCAGAGCCTTCATGGTCTGCACTACAAACCTGTGTGCAGAGCAAAGCCCAGGTCACACTGGGAGCGCTGGCACTGGCCACAAGGGCACGGGAAGGACAGGGGGACTGGGACCTGTTGGGCTTGCAGTGAAGGCGGTGTTCCTCCCAGCATGCTCTCCAGAATGTAGCAACTTCCTCTGATGGTATCTGCTGTGTGGTGATGACGAGATGGAAGAGCAGAGCCACAAACAGGTGGGAGGAATAAAGGTTCATCGCCTCGTGGCACTTGGGCACCTGGAGAATCACCCGGAGCACCAGAGTTGCCTGCAAGAGAACAGCCCAAGGCAGCGCTCAGTGCCAAGGTGTCCATGGGGCAGGGCCCAAGAGCCGACGCAGGGGGAGCAGCGGGCCTGGTGCCCCCTGAGCCTGGCCCTAGCCCAGGTTTCAGCCCAGCAACTGAATGATGGAGAGGATGGAGAGCTGCTGGCAACCTGGGGGTGAGCAAAGGCCAGTTCCAGAAACTCACAGCCAGGGCAAAGACTTCCTCGTTGTCTCCATCAGAGGTGCACATGCTGTGCAGAGGCCAGTTCTCCATCACACAGAGCAGCGTTGGCAGCACCTTTTCCACTGTGGGACTCGATGAGCCTATGGTTCTCCACATCATTGCAGCGGCTCTGTGGGATCAGAGCTCTGTGTCAGGGGCATCTCAGTCACAGCACCATGCCCTGTGCACCCGTGGGGGCCCAGGTGACAGAGCCCCTGTGCCCTGAAGGGCAGGGGGGGAGCGCTGGCAGCAGGCTCAGGGAACAGAGGGGCCCGAGGCTCCTGGGCCTCTCTGCCTGTCTGGCAGAGCCCATTGCACAGGCTGTGCAGGGCCGTGGGCCCTAAAGGCTGCTGAGCCCTGAGCTCTCAAGGCTCGTGGGCCCCGTACCTGTCACACGCTGGGGCACAGCGCAGGAGGGTCAGCACCAGGTCAGCAGGGTGTTCTTCAGCCAGCCTCAAAATGTCAATCTGCAGCCAGATATCCACAGTGACTTGGGACATGAGACGCTGGTGAATGTTCCTTACAATGGCTGGCACCTGGAGGAAGCATGGGGAAGACTTGGAGTGCTGTCCAAGGGAACAACTTCCCCAGCTTCCCCTAAGAAGTGCTTCCCTTCCCGCCACACTGTGCTGGCCTCAAAGGATCAGGAGGCCCAGTGACTGTGGCTTGAGGGAACACACAATCCTGGGAGGCCTCCAGGCCTGGCCCCAGGCTGCTTACCTGCTGCTGAGAAGGAACAGCGCTCTCCTTGAGAAAATCCGTAGTGGGAGCATGAATCACAGTGGGAGTGGGCATGGTGCCAGTCTTTGAGATGCCCTGAGTCATTCTGGTGTCAGTGTTTGTGATGGCCACGCTCTCAGCCATTGCCATGTGAACAGCCGTCACCCTCTGAGAATGGATTGCATTGTTCCCTGAGTGGGCTGTCGATTCTGGGCTGACATCAGGCTCTGCCTGGAGCTCGGTCAGCCCCGAGCCAGGCTCGGCCGGGCCCTCAGCTGCTGCGCTGCCGGTCTTTCTACGTGGAATGCAGGGGAACTTCCAGAACATCTGCAGGAGAGCAAAGGACAGGGTAGCCAGGGGTGTTCCATGGAGTGCTCCAGGCGTGCTGCTGGGCTGAGCAGTGACAGCAGGCCCAGCCCAGGTGGGGATGGCTGCAGGCACCTTCAGAGTTTTGCGGAAGCGGCCACGGGCAGGTTTCTTCTCTTGTGTGCGGTCCAGGGCTGCATCTGGCAAAGAGCGAGCGCGGCCAGGGCTGAGGGGCTGCGGGAGAGGCCGGAGAACACAGCCCAGCCCTGCGCTGCCCAGGCAGGGACAGCCCCGGGATGCCCCAGGGGATGGAGCACGGCTGTGGGGTGTCTGCCCAGGCCCCTCTTCCCTCCTGTCCATGGGCACATCCCCAGGGGATGGGATGGGATGGGATGGGATGGGATGGGATGGGATGGGATGGGATGGGATGGGATGGGATGGGATGGGATGGGATGGGATGGGATGGGATGGGATGGGATGGGATGGGATGGGATGGGATGGGATGGGATGGGATGGGATGGGGCCAAGCTGGCCACAGCCATCAGCCCTGTGGCCCAGCTGTGCCACTCACTGTCCTGCAGTGGCTGGAACTGCTCCGGGTTTTCATGCTCCTGGAGGAAGCATGGGGGAGAAATGGAACATTGTCCAGGGAACAACTTGCCCAGCTATTTCAAAGAAGTGCTTCCCTTCTTCCACACTGTGCTGGCCTCAAAGGCTGAGGGGGCCCAGAGACCATGGCTTGAGGGGACACACGATGCTGGGAGGCCTCCAGGCCTGGCCCCAGGCTGCTTACCTGCTGCTGAGAAGGAACACAAGGGTCCTTGAAATAGTCGAATATGAGTTCCTGACTCAGAGTTGGAGAGGGCATGGTGTCAGTATTTGCGATGCCCTGAGTGTCTCTGGTTTTGGCGTTTGTGATGTCCACATCCTCAGTCATTGATGTGAGAAGAATCTTTGTCCGAGTTTCAGTCACTGAGGTGTCAGAGTTCTCTGAGCGCTCAGGCAAATCTGGGCTGACATCAGGCTCAGCCTGGAGCTCGGTCAGCCCCGAGCCAGGCTCGGCCGGGCCCTCAGCTGCTGCGCTGCCGGTCTTTCTACGTCGAATGCACGGGAACTTCCAGAACGTCTGTAGGAGAACAAAGGAAATGAAAGCCAGGGATGTTCCATGGAGTGCTCCAGGCGTGCTGCTGGGCTGAGCAGTGACAGCAGGCCCAGCCCAGGTGGGGATGGCTGCAGGCACCTTCAGGGTTTTGCGGAAACGGCCACGGGCAGGTTTCTTCTCTTGTGTGCGGTCCAGGGCTGCATCTGGCAAAGAGCGAGCGCAGCCAGGGCTGAGGGGCTGCGGGAGAGGCCGGAGAACACAGCCCAGCCCTGCGCTGCCCAGGCAGGGACAGCCCCGGGATGCCCCAGGGGATGGAGCACGGCCACTGCGGGGTGTCTGCCCAGGCCCCTCTTCTGTCCTGTCCATGGGCACATCCCCAGGGGATGGGATGGGATGGGATGGGATGGGATGGGATGGGATGGGATGGGATGGGATGGGATGGGATGGGATGGGATGGGATGGGATGGGATGGGATGGGATGGGATGGGATGGGACGGGAAGGGACAGGATGGGGCCAAGCTGGCCACAGCCATCAGCCCTGTGGCCCAGCTGTGCCACTCACTGTCCTGCAGTGGCTGGAACTGCTCCGGTTTTTCATGCTCCTGTGCTGGGGCAGCTTCAGGGCTTTTCTTTTTCTTCCCCCTGAACACTCTGAACAAGCCGAGAAATCTGCCCGCCATGCCAGAGTCTGGCCTCGAGGGCACCTGAAAGAGAGATGTCTCGGGAAAGCTCCAAGTGAACAAGTCCTCAAGGGCACCTGCAAAAGAGAAGCCTCGGGAAGGCCACGGGCTGCCAAGTCCTGTGGTCTTGCCACGAGGTCACCTGTAGGAATAATGCCTCGGAAAAGCTCCGGGTCAGGCACGAACGAGCGCGCTGTGCGGGGGCTCCTCACGGCACCGCTCTGTCCCGTCCTGTCCGGTCGCCTGCTCTGAGCAGAGTGGCGTGCTCTGGTTAGTGCCAGCTCCTATGTCAGCACGTGTCACAAAGGCCATCCTGTCCCGTTCTATGCCATAGTGACCATGCTGCACCATGTCACAAAGGGGCCTTGCACACACTGCCACCTGCCCTGGGGCCACCCCCTGCCCAGCCAAAGTGGCCCAGGTTGGAAGGAATCCCTGGCCCCAAGTGTCTGAGACAGCCCGACAGGATCTTTAGGAACGGCTCAGACCATCAGCAAACGCTGCCCTGCTCTGCGGGCTCAGGGCAGCAGAAGGAGCTCCCAGGGTTGCCGACACAGCTGCGCTGGGAAGGGCACAGAACCTTCCATGGAAGCTGCCACAGCCTCCTCGGGACGCATCCCAGCCCGTGGCCACCCTAAACCCGCGGGTGTGGCACACACAAGGAACTGTGGGCCAGGGCACGAATGCTGCTCTGAGCCCTGGGGCCCGGGGAGCGCTGACACCAGCAGCTGTGGCAGAGTCCCCACCCAGGCAGACCTGCCAGCCCCGAGCCCTGGCAGGGCTGGTGCCCGTCTCCTGCCCCAGAGACCTGTGCCCCTGGGGGGCTTCTGTGCCAGAGGGAGCCAAACCCACGTGCACTGGGGGCTGTGCTCCTGCCTGCAGGGGCTGTTGGCAGGAGCACCTGGAGCAACTGCTGGCAACAATGAGTAGATGGCAAAATGGTTAACCCTGCCCCGGTATAGAGATCTAAGTGGCCAATAAAGTACAGCTCTCCCCTCTTGTTCCCTGCAGCACAATCAGGACCATGAACACAAACAGTCACGGATATTCTTTCTGAGACCCATGAGCAAGGCTGTGCCAAACCACAGATGCTGCCTTAAAACAGACTCAAATTCCAGCCCAGACCTCTCACCTCCCAGACAACTCCTTCCCCAACCCATCTCCAACACCAACAGCCTGCAAACACCGCACCAAAGCCCTCAAGAGCTTAAATTCACCTCCCTGCCCCGCTGCTCACCTTCTGAGTTTGGTATTGCCCTTGGCCTCCTGCACAAACACGGCCAGGAAAGGTTTCTGCCTCGTGGCTCTCATCTAATTACATAGAGATGAGAGGCGGGTGGTTCAGGACACAGTGCCAGGTTCCACAGGGACTGGCTGAACAAATGTCAGCACAGAGCCATAAGGCCAGCATGGAAATCAGGAGTATTCATAGGGGCAGGAGAAAGTCTGCAGATGCAGTATCTGCACTCATTGTGGGCATCATCTGGCCCTCTATGTAGTATTGAAGCAGACCTAAAGAAAAAAAAAAAGATAAAATTGCTAATTTTGGTGAAAACTGCAGATCTCCAGAATAGCTTCAAGTCAGGAGAGGGGGAATGTGCAAACTGAGGATTTTGAGTAAAGGCCTTGCCCCAGTCCTACCTGGGATGACCTTGCTGCATGGCAGCAGGAAAGCAGCCTGGGAACAATGGCAGTGCTTGATTTTTCCACTAGTAGGGAAATTCACTGCTCCCCTGGGAGATTTCCCATGGGGAAAGGAAGGGTTAGAAATGCTTTAGAAATACAAAAAGGGATTATAGTGTCCAACCCCTGCATTTAATGTTAAGTGGCTCTTCAATTTATACTCATCACCTACTCTTTGTAAAATTCTTGGCATTCCAAACATTTTCCTTTTTCTATAGCTCCAGTTAAAACCCATAAAAAGTTCAGAGGTATTTCTAACCCTGGAGATACCAGAACAAGCTGTCTCAGTGACCCCAATCAAGTGCTAGGCTCCAAGGTTTCCTCAGCAGGTCCCTCCTGGCCGACAAATCTCAGTCTTCAGTTAACCCAGAGAAAGGTCAGCCAAGTCATCAAACGTTTCAAAGCACAATTAAGATCCCAAATGAGCGAAGTGAAAGTTTAATGCTGAAACTTCACTGCCAGTTGATGCTCAGTGATTACAAGGGTCACTTGAAATACCATCAGCAGAAGCACCATGTGTGTTAGGAACCTGTCCCTGCTGATGTGCATTAGTGAGACTTGTAGCAAGGCAAACAACCTTGCTGTAATATGATTGAGAAAAAATCAGAAATATTAAATTAAAAATTAAAATTTTAATTGAAAATTTTAAAAAAGTAATTCAGGCTGTAGCTGTCAGAGAGAAAAAACACGTTGAGTCTGAAAATCTGAAGAATTTAGAGGTGATGTGTTTCAAGTCCCTTAGAAGAATTCAGCTCCCATACAAGTGTGGTTGACCAGAAAAAGTCATAAATTAACTCTTCATCCCAAGAATATAGCATTTAAAGATATATCAAAGGTCCAAAGGGACAAGAAAGGTCACAAATTCAAAAATACCAAATAATTTCTTTCATTAGAAAGCTGAAATTTTATAAATAAAATCCTATTTCCCTATGTTATGAAATTTTTGCAACATCTTATATTTAAGGTTAAAACAAAAAGGAAGCACAAAGTCAAAACTAAATTACAGAAAGTTTGAGCCAGGTTTTTGAACATTAGAGTGAACAGGCAACAAAAATTTTCATCTGAAGGAATCTACATTCCTTTATTGTGTTGGATTTGAACAAAGCCCATATTTTCCAACAGCAAAATAATTTCTGGGAACCTCTTCACTGCCATCCTACTCATGCCTGGCTAGGCTTGATTCCAGAGGAATGGCACTGGACACTGTGGTATGAGGAAGGGTGGAAAAGCAAAGGATGGAGGGAGACTTTAAACTAGGGTCTATCAGTTTGAAAAAGGAAGGGCAAAACAAACTTCAGGCTTTTCCTGTCCTGTCTAAACAAATGGCATAAGGAAAATCACCAGCAGCCATGTCAGAAAATTCACTAAAGAGCCAACAGTGAAGGCAAAAGGAAATTCGAGCTTTGCTAACACTGTTCCTATTGATGGGAAATGGAGAAAATGCCTATGCAGACAATTGAGTTTTGCCCCTTTTTGGCAAGACAAAAATCTGGCGAATTTATTCCATGTTCTCACATATGTATTTAAAAAATGATAACTCTCAGCTCAAATGCCATCTTGATATATTAGCTATCTACTTCCATTTTATTCATCTTCATATTGGTGCAGGATATGAATGTGTAATCTAAGTCATAACAAAGGTTTCTCTGTGGTAGTAAGAGGTGTCATTATCAGACATTACATGGCAGTTTATAATGCCAGTGGAATAATTTTGCATCAATGTTACAATTAAATTCTTGATAGAGAAAGATGTTATGGGAAGTAATTACTTCTCTCCCCCCCCCACCCCCAGCTATTAAACTTTAATTGCTTAGATATGATTTCAGGTTTCCTAAAAGACACGTTGGCATAGAACTTCATTCTGTAATTCCTATATTTTAGCAGCCTGAATAAAGCAAAATTATCTAGAACATACTCACTCTTTCATTATAGACAACAAGTGATGCAAAAAAAAAAAAAAAAAAAAAAAAGGTTTATTCATGGTAGATTGAAAGAAATACTGAGTTTAGTCACCAAAGCCTGACCTACAGAAATGAGCCCTGTAGCACTCATTGCATTTTTTCTCCCCCTTGATGGCTGTAGCCAAACATGTCTGCACTACTCATCCTGCAGAATGACTGGAAAAAAAAAAAATTAAGCATTTAAAAAAAGGGGACTGAGGTTAAGGGCACGAGGGGGCTGTGGCAGCAAAGCAAACCAGAGTTTTCTTCTGTCATCTTTAAAATGGTCAAGAAATTACTACTACAAATAATAATAATTTTAAATGCCAGTTAAAATCAGTAGGCAGTCCTGGTTAAGAAGATGACAAAAAGAAGCATAAGCAATGGAAAAGTAAGAAGTTTTTAAAATCCACTTGACAAGAATACTGTTTTAAGCAGACTTTGCATAGACTTCTTTCTTTGTAGTGGGGGAAAAATTGTCAAATCTAGGGGGATAACCATGTTTAAAGCAGTTGGTTTTTTTGGTTGTAGTTTGGGGTTTTTGGTTGGGTTTTTGATTATTTTAAGTTTTTGATTTTGGGCAATGTGGGTCTTTGAGATTCTTTGAAAGCATTTGCTGGAAGTCATTATTAAAACAGATCATCAGAAGCAGAAAGAAATAAATAATTCTAAGGACCTGTAGAATAATAAAGGCATAAAATCATAAGTAACTTACTTTGCAGCTCTGCTGACAGCAGGAGTCCATCAGATTGAAATTGAGAAAAGGAAGCTTCTGATGGCTCATCAAGGATCTGGAGGCTGCCTCTGGATGAAGCAGTCTCACCAGCATGAGACTGCTACAAAAAAAAAGACAAAAGACCCTCCAAAAGGGATCAGAAGGCTTTTTTTTTTTTTTTTTTTTTTTTTTTTCCAGAGGAGATGGGAAAATACTGAAAGTCGTGGTGAGACAGTTCACTTGAAGGGGTTGCTTCTGTCAGATGGTGTTTAGGACGACTTCTTCTGACTCCTGGAGAAAGGCATGATTGGCAAGGGCACGAGAGCATGTCAGTCTAGATGGCCCCAAATGTGTCAAGTCTGAACTTAGAAACATTAATAAAATACTCATAATATACTGCAGTCCATATTATTACTGAGCAGTTAAACCCAGCCCAGGCGGCCCAAAGCTGGAGTCTAGAAGCATGTTTGGCTGCTTTGTTCTGGGCACTAGATGTCAGTATTTTACCTACATTTACAGAAATTTCCAGTCACTGGGAATGCAGAAGTAACAATAAATAAATAAATATATACATAAATAAACACTGTAAAGCATCTGCAGTACCAAAGCCCAACCTCTCCTCCTCTCAGGTGCCCAAAAGGAAGTCAACTTTCCCTTCTCCCCAGTTTGTTTATGCCCAGAAACAGTTTGAGTCAAACACATGCATGATACCAAAAGTACCTTGAGATGTACATATATTATATACACGTATTTTATATAATATAAAATATTCCTCTGTTTGCGCAGAGCTGCAAACAGATCTGGCCAAGAAGTTTTAATATTCAGAAGGAAATGTACCCATTTCTTTGAAACCACTTTTTCTACACTGTATAATACACATTTCATCCTGAAAAAGAAACTGAGAAAATGTGGGGGTTTTAGAAAAAAAAAACTCATAATTTTGTCAGAAGCAATTTTACTGAGTTCTTAAACTGCTTTTAAGTTCAGGTGACAAAATGGGATCAAACACTTTTACAACATGAACTAAAGATAGCAACTTCAACATTTGGTTCATGTCATCTCTACTTTAGGTTTGAATTAGAAAAATCAAAGATGTCTCAAATCAAGCTATTAAGAAAAATTGTACCCAGGATTGTTGTATTCCACTGTCATCTCAATATCAGATTAACAGTAAGTTACATAGTTCAAAATACAGTTCTACCCCTACTCCTTGTGCATGCAGTCTGTGTGCACAAATCACTTCTAAAAAATATCATTTACAGTAGCACAAATGCAGTTTAAATTAGCCCATGCAAACTCCTGAGACAGCAATAACTGCAGGGATTAGGAGCTCCCCTTGCCTTCCAGGTGGTCCTGTCTCTGATGTATCACATTTCTGGTCCTCTCCTCTCTTTGCTCCCACTCTTTCCCCAACACAGGGCTGAAGGAGAGGATCCTCTCAACTCCCTCTTTGACTCTCACAGGTGCTCCATGCTGGACAACCACAGCATGTTTTCTTTTGCCCTTCAGAGCACTCATACATCAGAAAAAGTGAAGCAACTAAAACAACCCACCAACACAGTGAAAGGTGAACACCATCTGCAAACTTTAAGGGTAGTTTTTGTGATGACTTTTGTCCATCACTTTACATATAAGCTCTATCTCACTTTGCATATGTTAATTGAATGAGAAATTGTGCTCCACAAAATAAGTAAATCCTCCTTTTTTTTCCTCCAATCTGCCTACACATTATAACCAATAAGGAATTCCAAGTATGAGGTGGTAGCTGTACCCAACAGCAGCCTATGGGTCTTGGGGGAAAGGTA